CGTCAAGGGCCGCCCTGGGCGGTGCCTGCCCCGCGTCAGGGCTGTGCCCTGGCGCGGGTAGCGTGTCCAGACCCCCCTGGCAGTCCTGTGGATTGCCCCTCCGCACACCCCCGAATTAAGTGAAAGGACCGGCGTAAATATGCCATTTTCTGGGGGGGGGTGGGAGTTAAACACGGGACGGCCTACGTAAGCCTTAAGGCCAGTAGGTGGGGGAGTTAGATAGCGTAGGCCCCCTCCCCAGATTGCTGTATGCGAACGGTAGAGGACCACCTCGCACGCCTTAGGTGGCAAGCGCGCGGTGCGGTAGGCGCCGCGTGCTTGCCGCCTAGGAAATGCGTGGCGTAGGGTACCCTTGCATCCCGGCGCGTACAGTAGCTGGGGGGTTTGAGGGGGGTCTAGCCTACTCTGACCATTGGCGTGTCCGCACGCAAAAAGGTGGGGCAGGGTATGTCTGTATACAGGTCCCCTGTATGCGTATACCCGTCTTCCCCCCTTTGGCCAGGACACGCCGCCCCAACACGTCCGTAGCCTGTTTGGGCTCCCACCCGCGGTCCACCCCTTCCGTGTTGAGGCACGCTTTCTGCTGGTGCCGTAGCCCAGAAGATAGCGTAGGCCCCCTCCCCAGATTGCTGTATGCGAACGGTAGAGGACCACCTCGCACGCCTTAGGTGGCAAGCGCGCGGTGCGGTAGGCGCCGCGTGCTTGCCGCCTAGGAAATGCGTGGCGTAGGGTACCCTTGCATCCCGGCGCGTACAGTAGCTGGGGGGTTTGAGGGGGGTCTAGCCTACTCTGACCATTGGCGTGTCCGCACGCAAAAAGGTGGGGCAGGGTATATATATATATATATATACATATATATATGTACATATACGTATGTATGTATGTATGTGTAACTACACATATGTTTATGTGTATATATACATATATATAAATATAAAACAGTGGCGAAGCGTCCTCGCTCGCCGATCGGCCTACCAAAGAATGTTCTACGAACCTTTTGTGGTCCCCACGAAATGTTATTAGAACATTTCTGGCTGGGCCTGTCTTGTTTTAGCACATCGGGTTTATGCTTTAAGAACATGTTTTGGTCTTATAACACTAGTTGGATCTAAGAACATTTCGTGGTAGGCCTATAGGACTGCCTGGGCGGTCGGTCCCTGCTCATATATAGAGAGAGTACACAACATGCAGACCCACCTTCCTGCGCACAGGCACGTACACGCACACACGTACCGACGTACACATGCGCACACGAGTTAGCATCTGCTGATAGTCCCATACAATCGCGTAGTGCGCGTTCCTGTTAGCTACAAACTACACGTGTACATGCGCGAACGCTTATACCATGCACAGTCTTACAAATGTACACACGAGGCAGCAGATAAGGGCACAGACATGTCCACGTGCACGTACGTGCACACGTCCGCACATACACGCACACTCATCATCATGATCGTCATCTTCATCATCAGCAGCATCATCATCGTCATCATCAGCATAATCCGCATCAGCATGAGCATCATCATCATAATCAAAGGGTTTTCCTTGCCTTGGCTCTATTGCCACTTTCGATGGAAGGTCCTGGAAGGACACACAGCACAGGGTAGCTCGCGCCAAGAGAGCCTTACGATCTCAACTGGACGCGCCTGCCGCTGGCAGCGGGCCGCGAAGCTGCTCGAGCGAGCAATCAAACCTGTCTTGCTCTACGAGTCAGGATCGTGGTGCCCCACGGTCAAGGATCTCAATCTAATTCGAGTCACGCGCCGCATAATGTTTTCTCAGCTGATTTGCACGCAGAGATGGAAGGAGGAGACGCCAGAGGACTTCTGTCGCCGCCGATGGCGCCGCGTCTCTGCCGCCCTCCAGTTCCACACGACATGGGACTTAGACGTGAATCTTCGCAGGCTGACCTGGACTGGACACCTAGCCCGCCAGGCCTCCTTGCCAAACGCCACGCCCGCCCAGCTTGTGCCTGTCCATCTGCTACAGTGGCGCAGCATGGCTTGGCTCCAGAGAAGAAAACGCGAGCACGCATCCCAGACGCATGGCCGCAAGTTCAAGGTCTGGCGATGGGAGATGGACCTCGCCCGACTGCTCGGTTCCGATTGGTTCGCGGATGCAGGCCAGCGCGGCAAGGTAGAATGGCTCGCTCGCGTTCGCCCGCTCGCATGCCAGCTGCACTGACCTCAATGTTCTCGTGCCTCACGCGAGGCATTTTTGCAGAACGTTTCTTTCAGCGGCTTGGCGTGCCGCCTCAGGCGCAGGGGAGACCTTGAGGGCACGTTGCAAAGTGCAAAGTGCATCATCATCATCAACATCACCATCATCATCATCATCATCATCATCAACAACATCATCATCATCATCATCATCATCATCATCATCATCATCATCATCATCATCATCATCATCATCATCATTTTCACGCGTGTGTGCGCGCGAGTCTGCGCGTATGTTTGGGCATGCTGCACATAGGCAGGAGTCCGTGATTCCTGTGCCCACTTTGATTTAAACTCGCGCAATGAACACAGGCAGCCACTCAGAAGCACAGGGGACGCTTTGGTGTTGCACTGTTTTCGAGCATGCCCGCCTGATCTGGACTTCGGTAGGTGCATCCCCTTTGGTATGGCAGGCGCCGGTAGGGCGTCCCTCGAGACGGCGCTGCCGAGGCAAAAAGTGCGCCCGCAGCCGCAGCAGCGACCACTGCCAGCTGGCGGCGCGGCGGGTCGTTTTAGCGGAAAAGGGGCAAACTCGCACGTTACGATCGAACAGCGGATAGCCAGGTTGTTCGAGATAGCGTCACGGTTCGATGCGGTTTGGGGATTATTTCGTAAAGATGTGCAGAGAATTCCGAATCTAATTTTATTCACGACGTCGTGTTTTTTCACGACGTTGGATGTTTGTGGGGGGGGAACACGGGGTGCGAAAGTTGTTGCACTCAATGGGTTTCGCCCCCCGCTGCGCAGCCCATTCCTCGACACACGGCCGCGACTGGTGCTTCGAGGCGTTCGGAAAACCAGATGGACGCAGCTGATTCGCTAGGCCCTTCTGTCTCCCCACCACCTTCGCTATCCCCGCCCCCCCCGCTTAACTCCCCCCCCGCTAACCACCCCCCCGGCTTAACCCCCCCCCCCCCTCCCGCGCTCCCCCCGATGGACAAGGGCAGCCGCCGGGCCTCCCGGCTGGAGGCCGGAGCGAGGCCGCAAGGAGGAAGGAGAGGGCTCAGGCGTATCGTCGCCCTCCCGCAGAAGCTAAGCGGGGGCGCGGGCGAGTGGACAGACCCGCCGCGGGACGAGAAGTAAAAGAGAGAGGGGACGAAGGCAAGCGACAAGGAAGGGCGGGGCAGATGCCAGAGCCAGAGAGAGAGAGAGAGAGCGAGCGGGGAGAGAGCGAAGCTGCAAGCAGCCGAGCAGCAGGCAGAGAAGCATGAGGCGGACTGGAGCAGGTTTGGGCGGGTCAAGAGGTCAGATCGATCATCGGCCTTGAGCTTGGGAGCGGGAGTGGCACCTCGGCTGGATCGGCTGCAGCGGGGCCGTAGATAGGGGCAGTGACACTGACTGTGCCGACGTGCTTGTGGTAATGGAAGTGGCTGTGGTTGTTGCTGTACTTTGTGGTGTGGCTCGTTGTGGGAGCGGCGGGAAAGGCAGCGGCAGTTAGCACTGCAGTTTGCCATCTGCGTCGCTTGCCTTGCTGCTCTGCACCCGTCCCACATCGTGCTGCCATCGCCTGAGCTGTCCCCCCCGCCCTGCTGACCTCCCGCCCTGCTCCTCCCCTCCTCCCCCTCTTTCACAAGTACCATCATCATTAGCATCATCATCAGCAGCATCATCATCCCTTCCTCCTGCTCTTCCTCCTCCTCCTCCTTCTCCTCCTCCTCCGCCTTCTCCTCCTCTTTCCCCCACCCCCTTCCCATCATCATCATCATCATCATCATCATCATCATCATCATCATCATCATCATCATCATCATCATCATCATTATTATTATTATTATTGTTATTATTATTATTATCAGAAGCAGCAGCAGCTTCTTCATCATCATCAGCATCATCGTCATCGTCATCGTCATCATCGTCATCATCGTTGTCATCGTCATCGTCATCGACGTCATCATCATCAGCAGTAGCAGCAGCAGCAGCAGCACCATCATAATCATCACCACCACCACCATCATCATCATCATCAGCATCATCAGCATCATCAGCACCACCACCATCATCATCGTCAGCATCACCATCACGATCATTACCTTCATCATCATCATCATCATCATCATCATCATCATCATCATCATCATCATCATCATCATCATCATCATCATCATCAGCATCATCATCATCATCATCATCATTATCATTATCGTTATCAGTTTCACCATCATCATCGTCATCGTTCTCAGCATCGCCATAATATATTCATCCATCCATCCATCCATCCAACCATCCATCCATCCTGTAACTAGGCGACTGGAAATTTTTCCCGGCAGTTGCGGTGGGCAAGAGGACCCGTTCTCCCACGACGACCCACCTGCTCCTTGCTCCTGCTCCTCCACCCCTCCATCCTCCTTCCCCTCCCGCTCAGCCTCCTCCCGCCGGTCCTCCCTTCCCTCCCCGTCCCTCCTCGCAGCTCCTCCCTCCTCTCCGTGGCCCCCCCCCCTCCCGCCGCGGCCGCGGACGCTCCACAGAGGGGACCAGCCCCCTTTGAGGGGCCTCCGCAGCAGCCTCCGGCGGCGGCGCGCCCGCCCCCTCCCGCCCGTGTCGCGGGGGCGAGCTCGTGACACCGGAACCGGGGCCTCGTCCCCGCCCCCGGGGCCTCTCCCGCCCTGCCCGCCTCCCTTCGCCTCCCTCCCCTCTCCAGCTCCTCGCCCCCCCCCCCCGCGGCCTCCCCTCCCCGCCCCTCGCTCCTGCAGCTCCTCCCTCCCCCCCCCCCCCCCCGTTTTCCCCTCCCCTGCTCCCTCGCGCGGTCCCCCTCCCCCCCCCCCCCTTGCCTGGCCGCCCCAGGCGGCCGTCGTCGCCGTGCTTGCCTGGTTCCTCCTCGGGCCGGAGGAGCTGTTCCGCCTCTCGAAGGCCTCGAGCCTCCGCTGCGGCGCCCCTCAGCCTCATCCTCCTCCGTTGCGCCCGTGTGCGTGTCGCAGAGGTGCCCGGCAGAGCCTCCGGGGGTGCCCACTCCTCTCCTCCTCGCTCTCCTCGTGGCTGGTGCTTCCCGTGGTGGCTTCCCGCAGTGCGGAAGCTGGCAATGACCATGACCACTGCACTTGCTCAGAAAGAAATTGGCGGTAGTCCGGCCCCTCCCGCAAATGCCCCAAACGGTGATTGCACTGGGGGGTTCTTGCTTGTGCGGTGAGGAGTTGGCCCTGCCTGTTGCACGTGTCCTGGTGGCTGCCAGGCCTCCTACGGCTTCGCCGGATAGAGTCCACATGGCTTCCCGCCCCACTGGCTCTGTGTTTGGGGGGGCTCTCTTCCCCAGTGGCTGCTCGGGCTGCTACGGCTTGGCTCCCCCAGGGCTTTCCGCCCCACTGGTTCTGCGTGCCGCGCTTCCTCCGCGGTAGTCCAGAGCCGGGTGGGGGGGGGTAATTAGGGCAAGAGGGAAGCACCTCTTCCGTAGGAGAGGAGGGGCTTCCCTGAAGCGCCGATGCCGAGAGGGCTGGTAGGGCTGCTCTCCTCCTCGTCCTCCCCCCCCTCCTCCCCAGTTTATTTTCGAGTGTTCCTGCTCCCGAGCTCGATGTTGTGGAGTGTCCTCCGCTCGGCTCTCCGCTCCGCAATCCTCAGCGACTATAGCGGCGACCTCCTCCGCGACGGTGATGGCGACACGATCCCTTCCACTTTTCTTCGCCTCGCTTGCTCCTCTTGATCCTCGCGTGCGATGTTGCCGAACGCCCTCTGTTCGACGACGAGGACGTCCTTCCCCACAAAGGCAACGACAGCCATGATGCGTTCGCTCGCTTCCTCGCAGCGTCTCCTCCCCTCCAGCGCAGCGAGGACCGTTTTCGAAATGTGGGAGGAAACAGGGATTCCTGTAGGGACTTCTGGGGAGGAGGCTTGGGACGGGAGGGTGTGTTACAGCATCGTTGATGCACATTGGGTTCATTATCCTCCTCCTCCTCCTCCTCCTCCTCCTCCTCCTCCTCCTCAGCCCTTGCGGCAGAGGAGCGCTCCCCTTGCCCTGGGCGCGGCGGCCGCGCGCCGCGATTTGGCATCTCCGTGTTCGTGGTGCTGCACCTGGACTACCTGTTCCTCTGCTTGGGCCTGCGTGACTCGCAAGGGCAGCGCAGGCACGAGCCAATCTCTGTGAGCGTCGAGCTCTTTGGCCTCGTGGGCAAGCTCGGCGTGGTTGCATCGTGTATGTCATGGCGCGACGGGCCTTCGGCGGCCTCTGCGCCATGGAGGCTTCGGAAGAGGAGGACGCAGCCTTTGGCCAGCCAGGAGTGGCAGGCTGCGTTCAGCGAGCGGGTGGTGGCGGCGGCGGTGACCGCGGCAGTCACTGCAGCTACGCCCGGGCAGGCGCGCCCAGTGCAGGCGGCGCCCGCACCCAAGCCGACGGCGGCTCCCCCGCGGCCCACCCAGGCGCCGCAGCCGCTGCTGGCCATCGAGGACGAAGCGGCGGTGGAGGCGTCGACCAGCAATGCGGCCCCGCTCTCGCCGCCGCCAGGCCATTTCGGCCTCCGCAGGTGGCAGGGGGCGAAGGCCCCGCCGCCCGCCGTGGAGGCCGGGCCGCCGTCGCCCGCGCAGCCTGCGCCGCGGGGCCCGACGCCGCCCCCGCGGCGGCGCAGCCGCTCCAGGCGCTGGCGCCTGGCCGCTCCGGAGGGGCCCCGCGCGCGCTTGACGGAGGCGGCGCCCGAGGAGTGGCTGGGGGCGAACTCATCGGGCTCGGTCAGGGTCTCGCGGAGCCGCCGGCGCCGCAGGAGTCGCAGGCCCTCGCCGACGCCCTCGGAGCCGCCGCTGGAGGTCAGCTGAAGGTCGAGGGCCTTGTGGCGGACGAGTACCAGGTGGAGTTCCACCCCTCCGCCGAGGCGGGGTCGGGGGGGGCGGCGGCGGGATTTGGCCCCGCGTCGTCACAGCCGCCCCCCCGCGGCCAGGGCTTTCCGGAAGCCTGCAAGAACTTCAAGGGCGGCTTTTACGAGAAGATGCTCGGTGGCCCGTCGTGCTACGCCATGGATATGGACGACGGCATCGAGGACTCGAGCGAGTTCGTGGCGGACGAGCTGCACGACTGGCTCGAGGACATGGACCCGCCTCCTGTATTTGGATGTGTACGTGACGCGCATGATGATGCAGATGGGCTGGGTCCTGATGGGGATGCGGATGCCTTTCGGAAGTTCCAGGAGGTGCTGCCCGAGGCGCCGCGGTTCCCCATGCTCGGCGGTGAGCTCCTCAAGGAGACGGACCCTGCCCTCCACGAGGTGTTCAAGGGCTCGGAGCCGGTCGCGGAGAGCAACCTCAGCCTCTCTGGAGCCGGCGGGGGCGCGAAGTTGCACGAGATGGACGTTGGCGAGGGCACCATCGTGATGGAGGTCAACAAGGTCTACCAGAAACTCGGCGAGAGCGTTTCATCGGATCCCTGGCAGCAGGTCCTCGTGGCCAACGCGCAGGTCTTCCTCAAGTCGGAGCAGGTGCAGGCCGCGCGGCAGCTTGCGACCTACAAGGAGTACGAGTTGCTCGGCCGCTTCGGGGACATCCAGGTGGTCATCCAGCGGCCGTGCATCAACGACAGGCTCTGGCGGCTTCACCGTGCGTCCATCTTGGAGACGCTGGAGGCGCTGGTCAGCGACTGCGGCCCCAGCATCCTGGAGGAGCTGCTGGAGGTCGACGACCTGTGATCGTGCAGGTCCAGCGGGACTTCATGATCTGACAGGTTGGGGGGGGGAGGAGTGCTCCATGCAGGCCGCGGGCTTTGGGCCCTGTCCGTCCCCCCCCTCGCCCCCTCGTTTGCGGTGGCCTCGGGTGGCCCTGCTCGGGGGGGTTCGGCCACGCTTGGAGTGTTCCTCCTCCCTCGTGCGCCACTTCTGACTGTCTTCATTTCGGCGCGCGTCCGCGGGCGGCGCCGAGCGAGGGCGGGTCTGACCGCCTTCGAGCTCGTCTCCACGTCTCCACACCTCCTCTTCCTCCTCCTCCTTCTCTTCCGCCTCCTCCTCTCTACCACTATCCATTAGAAACACACCTCCCCCTTCTCAACCTGACAACGTGCAGCTGCGGTGCCGCCGCTCCCGCGCGGTGTTTTTCACGCAGTAATTTCCAAAGTCAAGCCTTCCCACGTGTTACTTCAACAGGAGCGCCCTCGGTCGCTCCAAGCGGCGTTCTCGCTGCATCTGTGGCCACATGTTCGGATCGGTGATTTGCTCCCGTCGCTGGGGGTAGCGTTCTCGGCCTAGCCCGGGCCACATCTCTGGATGGGATACCCGCCGCGCCGTTGCCGCCCCATCACTTCTCCCCCGCCGTCCCCTGATCCTGCTGCCTCTCCTCCTTCCCCTCCTCCTCCTCCTCCTCCTCCTCCTCCTCCTCCTCCTCCTCCTCCTCCTCCTCCTCCTCCTCCTCCCCCTTCCCTCCCCTCCTCCTCCTCCTCCTCCTCCTCCTCCTGCTCCTCCTCCTCCCCCTTCCTCCTCCTCCTCCTCTCCCTCCTTCTCATCCTTCCGCCTCCTCCGTCTCCCTCCTTCTCCTCCTCCTCCTCCTCCTCCTCCTCCTCCTCCTCCTCCTCCTCCTCCTCCTCCTCCTCCTCCTCCTCCCTTCTCTCCTCCTCCTCCTCCTCCTCCTTCTCATCCTCCTCTCCTCCCTCCCTCCCTTCTCCTCCTTCTCATCATCCTCCTCCTCCTCCTCCTTCCCCGTCCTCCTCCCATGTGCAAAGTCCTCTTTCCGAACTCGCAGAAGAAGGACTGGTCAAATTATGTACCTGCCAGTTGGGGACCAAGGTCCTCTATGATAACCCCAGCTGGCGGACAGAAAAGGAGTGAACGCAATGGGGAGAGATGGGGGCAGGCGCAGGATGTCAGATGCGCCGCGAGGGCACCTAGTTTGCCTCCCCCGAGATCCGACGTGGCGGAAAAAAAAATGCAGCATCGTAAAAAATCACGCCCGGAGCCCCAGACACCATCTGCCTGCGTCGTTGTTCGAGCCGGGTCGATCTGCTAGGGTCCGGGGGCCCGAAACGGGGGCGAAAACGCCCGACTCGACAAAAACGGGGCCGCCAGGATGCTCGTCCCTCTCCTCCCTCCCCCATTCCCTCGTCGAGCTCGGCGTGCCCGCACGCCCTCGGCTTGGCCCCCTCCGCCCGGCCAGGGGGCTCCAGGGCACCCCGGCGCCGAACCCCCCCGGCCCAGCGGCACGCGGCTCGTTCTCGAGCACGAGGTCGCATCGCCGCCGTCGCCCTCGTCGGTCTCGTCGTCTTCCGTCGTCCACGTCGTCGTCGGTTTCGTCGTCGTGGGTTTCATCGTCGTGGGTTTGATCGTCGTCGTCGTCGTCGTCGTCTTCGTCGTCGTCGTCGTCCTCGCCGGTTTCGTCGCCGGCGGCGCCCCACCAGGCTTTGGGCAGCTGGCTCGGCGAGGCCCGCGGCTTCGTCGCGGAGACGGCCGCCAAGTACGAGTCCAGCCTTGACGACGCGAGCACTCGCAAGGCCATCGCAGGCGGGGGGAGGGATGGGGAGGGGGAGGGAGGGAGGGAGGGAGGGAAAGAGGGAGGGAGGAGGAGGAGGAGGCAGGTAAGAAGAGGAGGAGTAGGCGAGGGAGGAGGAGGAGGAGGAGGAGGAGGAAGACAAGAGGGGGGGAGGGAAGCGGAGAAACAGGAGGCAGGGATTCGCAGGAGGAGGCGGAGGAGGAGGAGGAGGAGCAGGAGAAGGAGGAGCAGGAGGAGAAGAAGGAGGAGGATGGGGAGGGGGAGGAGGAGGAGAGGGAGGAGGAGGAGGAGGAGGAGGAGGAGGAGGAGGAAGAGGAGGAAAAGGAGGAGGAGGAGCAGAAGGCAGGGACGATTAAGAGGAGGGGGAGGGGGAGGAGACGGGGGAGGTAGGAAGGAGGGAAGGACTAAAAAAGGCTGGATGATAGAAGGAGGAGGAGAAGAGGGAGGGGGAGGAGAAGGAGGATGAGGAGGAGGAAGAAGGAAGGCCAGTGTACACCCAAGACTCATCAACGATGTTGCAATACATCCTCCCTCCAAGATCCCTCATCACAGGTCCCTACCAGGATTTATTTTCATTGATGGAAGTGTCCCGTTGGGAGAAAACCATTTGAAACAATTGAACTGTTCCGAGACACCAGTCCTGGAATTCTAACGCCGCGAATCAACGTGACTGTTGCGTCCTGACGACCCTGAATTGTGCCAGAACACCATCACTGGGTTCAGCACTACGAATCAACGTGACTGTTGCGCCCTGATTGTCCTACATCGTGTCAAAACACCACATCTGGCTGAAAACTCTTAAGGCCAATGTGCGCGGCGCTAAGGTGAGAGCCGCATGTTGCAAAGGAACCGCAATGCAATCGTGAAACTCGTGCGAGCTTTTTAGACGGATATGCGACGCCAAGGCGAGAACCACATGTTGCAAACCGCCCGCCCACCATCCGTGAAACTGCTGTAACATGTTAAGACGAATGCGCGCGGCGCTAAGGCGAGAGCCACATGTTGAAAGCGGCCCGCCCTTCATCCGTGACTCCGCTGTAAACTCTAAGCTTGTAGACCATAGACGGTGAGGAGATCTCAGGCGAAACGCCCAGCTTGCCTTACCGACACGTCTCGGGGCGCGACAGGGAGGAGTTAGTCTAAAGGAAAAGAGGCTAAGCATAGGAGGTCACAGAAAACAGTTAAGTCAAGGTGGATGACGTGGCTCACCAGGCAATGGCAGACGAGTGTGATTCCGCCATCCATCTCCATAGGCTCGTGTTTGACATATTCGTGTATTCATGTTTCAGATGTTTCAGTCAGTGTGGTCCCTCCTCTTCCATCCTCCACCAGTATCCCTGGCCTCTTGTTGAATCCGTGCGTAGTTCGACGATCGCCATCATCATTGTCACCACTAGAATCAACATCATCATCATCATCATCATCATCATCATCATCATCATCATCATCATCATCATCATTACCATCATTACCATCACAGCATCATCGACATCATCATCGCCATCACCATCAGCATCGGCATCATCAGCAGCAACAGACCCGTCATCATCATCATCATCACCACCATCATCATCATCACCACCATCATCATCATCATCATCATCAGTATCATCAGTATCATCAGTATCATCATTATCATCATCATCATCATCATCATCATCATTATCATCATCATCATCATCATCATCATCATCATCATCATCGTCATCATCGGCATCATCATCGTCATCATCGGCATCAACATCAGCGGCAGCACCACCATCATCATCATCAGCATCAGCATCAGCATCAGCATCAGCACCATCATCAGCAGCAGCATCAGCACCATCATGATGCTCCGCACTAGCAGCAGCATGATAACCTTGATAGGTCTCGATGTGCCCCTCTCCCCTGCTTCCTCCGCATGTGTTCCTTCGTGCTGTTCTGCCCGTCGCCGTGATCCTCTTGCTCTCTACGTCTGCAGGGTCCAGGAAGGGTCGCCGTGATCCTCTTGCTCTCTACGTCTGCAGCGTCCAGGAAGGGTTTCTCAACGACACCAGGCTGCATCGGAGCTGCATATTGCCATGGTGTGTCGCTCCTGCCGCACACACCCCGGTCGGCGTCTGCCGCCGACGGAGGTCCGAAGGGACAGTGGAGAAGCCGGAGGGCTGGTAAGAGGAGGAACAGGGGCAGGAGGAGGAGGAGGAATACGAAGAAGAAGAGGATCATAATGAGACATGAGGAGGAAGGTTTCGAAAAGAGTGGGGGAAAGGAGGAGGGGGGAGGGGGAAGGAGTAGGATGGAGGAGTTGGGTGAGATAATCAAAGCTTTGGTAATGGTGGACGACAGTGGATGTGGAGTTTGCGCATATCTCCTCTGTCGCCGAGTGCCTTGCCTTCGCCTCGCTGCCACGTCCCCTCCCGAGGCATTAGGGAAACCCAGCGCACCGTGAGCGAGGTCGCGTCCTCCTTCCAGGCAGCTCGCGGCCGCGAAGCCTCGCTGAGTTCGCCGTCATCGTCGACGTCGTCGTCGCCGCCACGGGGCGAGGGGAGGGGGGAATGGGGAGCTCACGGGAGGATGGAGGGGAAGGGAGGCGAGGCGAAGCGAGGAGAGAGGGGGGCGGAAGAGCAGGGGCGAGGCAGAGAGGGTTGGGGAGGAGAGGGAAGTGGTGCGCTGCGAGGCCTCCTTCCTCCTCCTACTCCTCCTCCTCCTCCTCCTCCTTCTCCTTCTCCTCCTCCTCCTCCTCCTCCTCCTCCTCGTAGCCATTTTGGCTCAAGTCCGTAGCGTGGCTCAGTGGCCACCAGCGGGCGAGAGTTGAGGCAGAGGGGACCAGCGGCCCCTACCGACATACCACCCAAGGTTTCGCTACTGCATTGGGGTGTTATCCCCCGCTGTACGAAGACACGACTACTTCGTTTTCGCTCTCTGTTACTTCAGGCACATGGGAAAAGGCGCTTTCTCTTGGTGCACGGCCTGCGGCAATTGGGCCTACAATTTCAGAATCAGGAGGAATGGCGGCAAGTGCGGGAAGTGCCAGGCCCACATCTCTCTTCCCGCGCCGTGGTGGGAGCAGCCAGGCCAGCAGCAGGGCCAGCAGCACCACCACCAGCCATCCTCTCCTTCGACGGCTACGCCAGACCCGTCGGCGATGCTGGCCTTGCTCGCCAGCTTGCCGATGTTCGCGGGTGAGGCCAAGACGCTCCTCGCCGCCAAGGAGCGTTGCGACGCGGCAGCCGTGCCGACGCCGCCCACGGCCCACACCTCCTACACCGCCACCGCCAAGGAGCTTGAGAAGAAGGACGCAGCGCTCAAGTCGGCGGCCGAGGCGGTTGTGGCAGCGGAGGCCACCCTGGCACGTGCCCAGCAGAGGGCCGAGGAAGCCACGGTGGCCCAGATCGTCGCGCAGCAGGCCCATGACAAAGCGGTCGCTGCTGTCGCGGCCAAGGCAAACATCAAGCAGGTCCCCGACGGGTACACTGCAGACGGCAAGCGCGTGGTCTTCGCCGTGGACGACGCGCTCTTCTCCGACCTCAGCGAGATCGACGAGACGCAGCAGGCCGAGCTCCGCGCGTTCGAGGCGGAGATCAAGCAGAGGATCGACCAGGTGGCGGCGATGCAGGCGGAGGTGCACGCGCAGTACGACAAGGTGCGCGCCCTCCGCAACTCCCCGCCGAAGCGCCAGCGGGTCGACGAGGAGGGAGGCGCCGCCGCGCCCGCGGCAGGCGCTGCCGCAGCGGCTCCCGCAGAGCCGGCGGCAGCCGCAGCCGCCGCCGCCCCTCCTGCCGCCGACCCTGGCGCCGCGGTCTCCGCCCAGGCCAAGGAGGACGGCCTCAAGGCGGCCCTCGCCAAGGCCCGCTCCGACTCTGTGGCCAAGGCGAAGGGCAAGGGCTCGGCCAGTGCTTCGAGCGCTGGCCCTGGCGCTGCTGGTGCTGCTGGCAGCGCCCCTTCTGCCGCTGCTGGGGCCGCTGGCCCTGCCCCAGCCCGCGGGTAGCAGCGCCCCACCGCAGCCAGCGGGCGCTGGCTGCCCACCGCGGACGAGTTCTTCCCCTACATGTTCAACGGCGTCCCTGATGGCGGGGTCTCCCCAAACTCAGAGAGATGACGAGCAAGGTTCCGACTCCAAGCTCTTCTTCGCCAACATCTCCGAGTGGGGCCCCACCGCGAAGGGCTTCATGAGAGGCCAGGCGCCCTCCTACGACCTCGTCGCGTTCTGCGAGACGCACGTCCTGGGAGAGCAGCTGGCCACCGCCAAATCCGATCTTGGCAAGGACGGGTGGAAGGTGACGGCCACCCCTGCAGTATTGACTGGAAGGTCTGATGCTGGCAACACAGGTGGAGAATGGGTAGTCTCGCGCAAGTCAGTCTGCACCACCTCCTTCGAGTCCTGGCGCCAAGCAGAGCTTCAACGCACAGGTAAAGATTGTTTCCGAGGATTCGCTCCTCTCTTGTGGCACACGCGCGTCGGCAACATAGTGGTTGTCTCCTGTTACTTGCTTCCTGGCCACAAGTTCAAGGGCCCGAACGAGCAGATGCTGATCCGCCTTGCCTCGTTCTTGAAGCAGATCAAAGATCCCTGGATCCTGGTTGGCGACTGGAATGCGGTTCCGTCTGATTGGTCCAAGACTGCCTGGATCTCCAAGCTCGGGGGCAACATCTGCGTGCCCATCAACGGCCAGGTCACGTGTAACAAGGGCCGCGGCTCCCTCATCGACTACGCGATCGTGAAGGAGGGCCTCGCCGACAGCATCCGTGTGCATATTGTCCCTGAGGTCCCATGGCGTACGCACGCTGGGATATGCGTCACGCTCAAGGCGGGCAAGAAGGCTTGGTGGCATCGCAGCCTCAGAGCCGCCCAACCTCTGCCGGCACTCCCGAGGCCTGTCCGCGCGGCTGACCCGAACAGCAAGCGGCAGAAGGCCATCGCCCAGGCGAAGCAGCGCCGCCGCCAGGAGCTCGACGACTACCTGCAGGAGGCGTACGCCGACCTCTACGACCACGATGAAGCCCCTCCAGCACCAGCTGCAGGACCTGCGTTCAACATCCCCTTGGAGTGCTGGCAGGCCGCCAAGGACAAGCCGTACGAAGGCACCCCCGCACATCGGCCTCATTTCCTGCTCGATCGGGATCCCGAAGTACGTGACGATGTTGGCCTACGCTACGGGCGATGGGTCCAAGCAGTGGAGGAGGCAACGATAGCACACCACGAGCTTCCAGCAGGTGATGCCAAGAAGTGTCGTGGCAGGGCACAAGGATACGATATTGAATGGAAAATCACGCGAGCCACCCCGTCCAGGCCCCACTTGAGAGATCCGCTACTCGAATGGTGGAACCTGTGCACGTCACTACTCTCGAGATTGGGCATCTTCCGACGGACGGCTCGAGTTCACGACAACGCCTACACGATGACCAAGCTCCTCGAGTTGCTGGACGTTGGCCTGGACAGCGACTTCCAGAAGCCCTTCGGCGACGACGACCAGTTCTGGACCTGGGTTGCGGCGATCCAGCAGATTGGCACTGCCGACGATGAGGAGTTCGACACCATACTCCAGCAGGCGGAGTCCTACAAGAGCAGAGCCATCGGCCTCTCGTTGTCCAAGGCTCGCAAGGGATTCCAGGCCTGGGCCACCAAGATGTGGAAGGAGTCGCCAGGAATTCTACACCGCCACGTGAAAGGGGTACCTGACAAGCCCGACGAGATCATTGCTGACTCCAAGGTCTTCGCCACCCCTGATGAGATGATGGACAAGCGTGCAGATGATTGGAACGAGATATGGAGCGACGACACGATGGTCCCTGCCAAGATCATCGACGGCCTCCAGTACGTCATGGGCAGGGCCGACACCCAGGACCTCGAGCAGCTCACCGCCGAGCGCATGAACAGCGCGCTGGGCTCCATGAATGGCAAGAAGGCCAAGGGGGTCGACGCCATGGGCCCCATCGAGGTGCAGCGGCTGCCTGCTGAGGCCCGCCAGGAGCTGCTCGAGCTGGTGACGCACATCGAGCGCGTCGCCATGTGGCCGCACCAGCTCTTCATGGTGATCGCCGCCGTCGCCCCCAAGCCGAAGGGGGGCGACAGGATCCTGGGCCTGCTCCCGTTCCTGCCCAAGTTGTGGAGCAAGATGAGAAGTGCTGACTCCCTGGACTGGACGGTGGCCATGGACGAGCATTGGGACAGCGATCCGTGGCTCGTCTGCCCTGCAGGCTGCCTTGGTCCGATCTCTCCTCGATGAGACCTGCCAGGAGATGAAGATTTCATGTGCTACCTTGCTCCTGGACTTGGAAAAATTTTATGATAGTATTTCGATTGCCAAGGTGTGTGCAGCAGGTATTCGCCAAGGTTTTCCTGCTCTCATCCTCGCGCTGGAGTTGCAGCTGTTCCTTGCCCCGCGGCACCTCAAGGACAGGCTCTGGCTGAGCAAGGCGATTCAACCTGAGAAGAGTCTAGTGGCAGGCTCGCTGCAGAGTGGACGCTTCGCGAAGGCGTTCATGGGCCCCATGCTGGACAGGGCCCACATCAACTACGGGCTCAGGATCCTACTCCGCACCTTCGTTGACGACACGGTGGTTCGGGCAGAGGGGACAGCGCACGAGGTCGGCTCGCTGATGATCGACTCCTGCACGTCCTTGGCCAGCGACTTCGTGGACGCAGGGCTCAAGATAAGCCCGAAGACGGTGGTCGTTGCTTCGTCCTCGAGCTTGGCAGCCCGAATCACTGCCGGCCTGATCGATGTTGGCATCCCTGTGACACCTGTCCGCCACGCTGTGGACCTCGGTGCTGACACGACCTCGGGCCGATCACGGACCAGAACCAAGGCGAGGGAGCGCTTCATGAAGGCCAAGAAGCGCACTTCCGCCATCATGAGGATGAGGCGCCACGCCAGCCTCCGCGGCATCACCAAGGGCCTCTGGAGCATGGGGTCCAAGCCGCAGGGCACCTACACGCACCAGACGTTCGGGATCCCTGGCTACGAGCTGGTGCAGATCCGCCGCCAGGCCGCCCAGAGTGCCGTCGGCACGGGGCCTGGCCGATGTTTGACCACGTCGCTTGCCGCCGCCTTTGACCGACGAGACCCAGCGAAGGCACTTCGACGTGAGCAGGTCCTGGCATGGCTGCGATTGTGGCGAGAGTACCCAGAATATCACACACGTATTGCGAGATCGTGGGATAGCATCCGTAGCCGCCTACGATTAGCGGGTTCGCGAAGATGGAGAGTTTCGAAGGGCCCCATTGCAGCTACGATTTCAACCTTGCTCGACATTGGTTGGGACCCCGTCAGCCCGATGGTGTGGTCTTCGGATGAGCAGTTCGAGTGGCACATCCAGGTTTTGGCCGAGAAAGCCCGGGTGAACCATGAAAGCTGCCCGAGTTTTTGGCTCCGCGGGGTCCCTGGCCGGGCCGAAACGGTCCCGACCTTCGCGGATAAGCCTCCCATCCGAATTTCGTTTGGCACCCTTGCAGCCGTTCCCAGAGACGCCGAAGGTTTTGTGACCTT